GTTAATAAAATGCTAACTTGGCTAACCTTTTGCTTAGCTTTCCCATTGGCAAAAAGTAAAAGAAAAAGTTAGCATTTTATTTAGCATGTCACAAAAGGAAATATTTTGTTTAACTAGTAAAAAGCTAGATTTGCTCTGTTTTTGCTCAAATTTTCTGTAAGGAAAAAAAGGCTAATTTTGTTAATTTACTGGTTAGCTTTTACATTTTTGATTTGGATTTTTTCATTGAAGTTAATTTTTACGCTGGTAGAAATTGACAAACATAAGCTTCTTGATTTGTTAAAACTTTAGACCAACTCGACGTTAACAAGCTGCAGGATGTTGTGCAAGCTAAATGTAATTTTGGGAAACTCCAGTAATTTACTTGAATACTTTTGAAGTCCTTCCTGTTTTATCTCCACATGAAACCCTTTGAAAAATGTCCAATGTTCCTGCCTCCTTGTCTCTGCAGATCTTTGGGATGATCTTCAGCATGATGCTTTGCTGTGCCATCAAGAGGTCCAGAGACTTTGTGTAAACTGACACAAACACAACTTTTCATCTTTAATCACGTGTCTCCACTTTAAAAACCTGCTGCTTTAGAGTTTAAACCAGTTTAACGTCAGAAATGTAAGTGATCCCTTCGTGTGCTGCTCGAGTTCATACAGGATGGCCACATGGACCTGTGAGCGTATGGAGCCTTTGCAATGATGTTTAACATTTCCACTCTGGAGGGTCTGCAGGGAGGTTATCTTTAGTCTTGAAGTAAAAAGGGGGAGATTGTTTTTGGTACCAAAAATAACATTTTATTATTTTTATCGTGAAACAATGCGATTGTCTGCAGGAGAAAATAAACACTTGAGACTCTGCTTCCCTCCGGTGGACGCTTCTGCAGTTTTCTTTATTTTTAAATCTTGCGTTAATACTTCTGTTGGTTTATAAAAGTGCACTAAAGGTTTTTGAGCTGTAGCTTACTTGTAGCCACTTGAATGTTTTATTTTGACCTGCATAATTGATTTATTCTATTTAGGAGAACTGTGCAGTTTTATGCAGATATGAAGAATGCAGTTCAAATGTCTTTAAAATGCCAAAAACTAATAAACAATTTCTGTTCAAGTCTGCGTGTCCAAAGTTATGTTCTGAAAACTTGATGGATGTATAACCATTTTAGTTTATGAACTGGGAAACTAGTTGTACAGCAGCGCTAAAATTAATCTCTGTCCAAAGAACTGTAGCAAGTTTATTTATTAGAATGTGAGCCACCACAAACACCTTTCAGCTGCTGCCAGCTCCAGCAAGGTTTTTACAAACTTTGGTATGTAATATAGTGTTGGGTATTCAAGGAATGCTAAGATTTTATTTTATTTTTTAAACTAATTTGTTACTTATTAAGCTCTTGAAGTTATTTCAGAGATGCACACCCAGCTTTGGTAATATCTAGGGTTGATATTTTAATATTTGTAATATAAGATGAAACTATACTGTTATACTTGAAAATCTGCCGGCTGTCTTTCTCCCGTACCGCCCCTCAGCTGCGTGCGCTCCCCCACTTCCTGCTTCTCCAGGAGGTGGCAGGAGACGTTTAGCACAAATAAACACGGGACATGTATGAAGAGCTGCTGAGCAAAAAGAAAAACGATGGCTATTCTTTCGGAGATGGTTTAGATTTAAATTGTCAGATCTTTTTCACCATTTAAAACGGCGTTGAGTGGAGTATGAAGTGCGTGTGCAGCTGCAGGTCCGACTGTTGACTTCAGCCTCCTTCCCTGAAACAGTCGGAGCTGCAGCTGCAGGTTCACAAATACTTAACGACATGAAGGCTGCGCAGCTGAAGAGGATTATTATTTAATATGTAAATAAAGGTCTAAAAAATGAATAATGTAAATTTATTTTTTAGACATTTTGTACAGTTACAGCTGTTAATATATGTGCCTGTGTGACAATTGGGACAAAGCTTTGACTCAAATATAATTATTACTTTATGGAAAGAAAAAAAAAGTCATATCGCCATTTATCTTAAAATATCGAGATATTAATTTTGGTCCATAATGTCCAGCTCTAGTAATATCTAAAAGGGAGACTGGGAGAGCTGCCTCCTATAAAATAAATTAAAAAATGAATGCCAAAAACTCAATTTTAACATTTTAATTTGAATCTAAATTTGTAAAACAAAAGGTTGGTTTGACAAAATTCATGTTTACACACATCCCCCCAAAAATTTTTTTTTAAATACTGCGTACATGTTTCTTGCAGCGTAAAGACAACAAGCTGATGATGTGGGGGATGAGGCTTGAGCTGAAATGAGAATGAATTATGACAATGGTCCTCACAATGCACCATAATTCAAAGTCCTCGCATTAACAGAAGAACAAGAACGTGTGTGTTAGTCGTCCCAGGCGAAGTCAAACGGCTGGAAATCGTCTCTTAGATGTTTGCAGCTCTCCTCCTCTTCCTCTCTGCTCTGTTTACACTCCTTCCAGTCAGCTCGAGTCGGGATGTTCAACACTGCCTCGCTGGCGAGAACCTCCCTGTGTGAACACAAACTGCTCAGCTCTCTGCTGCCCCCTGTGGCAGCTTCTGGAACAAATCTATTCAGCTGTGACGGGAAAAGCTTTGCACTGGACCACTGTTTCTGAGTGAACATTTTATTTTCTTCCTGAAACGAGTTAACTAGCAGCCTTTTGTCTGGTAGTTTTCTCATTCAGAGCCTAGGGTTGACATGTTCCAGTTGGGAAATGCACATTTATGCAAAATAAAAAATAAACTGTGAGCTGAAACTTGGCGTTTCTTGAGTTTATGTTGATGCTGGTAAAACCTGATGCATGAGACAACTGCATAAACAAAGGACATTTCAGCGCTTTGTGCTTGCACTGACAAGCTGCATGCTAACGGCTCAAAAAGGCTTCAGTTTGTCCCAGCTGGAACATGTTGTGGCTTTATTACATGACACTAAATGTAAGTTTTATCAGTACTTGTGAGTTTGAACAGTGTGGAAGTTCTTGGCATTGAGTAAATGAAGGCCGTTTTATTGAGACCTTGCTTACCTTCCAAACTGCAGAGGGAAATGTTTCTGGATCCTGTAGTAAAGTTTCTCCCCTGAGTCCAGCTCCACGTAGAAGTACGGAGTTCCAGGAGGAGCAATCTGAACAAACGGGGAAAGCACATCCGGTCAGCACATTTTCACTCCCACGGGGCGAGCGTCTGATTTATGACGTATTCAACCTGTTTGAGGTCCGTGTGCTGAGGAATCTCCATCAACTCCATGTTTTGCTCCTGAGCCTGGACCGTAAACGCCTCCTTGACGTCTTCTGTGGTGCAGCGATCGAGTGGAACGGGGACGACCTGAGTAACAAAAACAAAATTTAATGTGTACCTGTAAATAAAAAGAATTTTCTCCAGGTTTTACCTGCAGCTGAAGATGCTGACTCCGGTAGTTCCTCTCAAACAGCACGCAGCGCTCTCCTTTGCTCTTGTAGAAGCTCCTCAGGGCCGACTTGTACTTCTCCATTTCCTCCACCACCTCGGAGCTCAAATCCACCACGGACTGGTAGTGGCCGATGGGCAGGATCAACACGTGGCGGGGGGTCAGCGGACCTTTAGCCAGCGCCAGGTAACACTGCACAACATGTTCATGGTCTTTAGAAAAGAAACGGCATAGTTGTTGCTTCAAATTAATTTCATAGGATAATCTATTGTAATCCTGTTTTCACTAGTGCTCGTGAAGCAGCCATTTTTTAGGCCAAGGTCGAACGTGTTCGTTACAAGGACATGAGGATGATGTAAGGATCCGTGCATGTAAGGTAGGGTCTGCAGCCTTTACGACCCAAAGAGCCATTTTTACGCCTTTGTTCACTAAATTCAACGTGTCCAGAGCCGCAACAACCTGCTACGACTGATTCTTGTGGCCAGTAGGAGTGACATCATAAAGCTCAAAATGTCTAATGATTTTTAACATTTATGGATATTTTTTTACAATTTAAGACGAATGAAAAGACCAGATTCTTGTAAAGAGGGGACATTTATTTTTAATTGGACTATGAAGTATGCAAACCTGTGATTTATTTTTTTTTTAAAAATCAAGTATAGAAATGAAACAAAAAGTTAAAAGTGCGTAATTACAAAATAAATAACAGTAAAAACATGTAAACCGAGTTATTTTTTGTTGTTTAACAACCGATAAAGTTCGGTTTGTTGAAAGCTTGACAGAGCCGCAGGTTGCAGACCCCTGGTGTCTTCTCACCACCAAATCTAGAAACTGAGCTAGAAATGAGACGTGAGCCAACGTGGATGGGAACTGGACTCTCTGAGGTCTGGGTCTTGGTCAGGCTGACCCAGAATGACAGACCATCTGTAGTGATGCACAAGGATGGTGTGAAGTGTCTGTAGGACGACGTTCTAGTTCATTTTTTTATTCTGTTGATGTTCTGATCAACATTTTGAAGCTCTTGAATAAACTCCATCTTTGCTGAGACTTTGGTTCATCCATTTTTACAGAAGATATTTAGCCACAACACTTGAAGTTTGACACCACATCAGGAATATAAACGACTGTGTGAACTCACATGTGTTCCTATGCTGAAAACGAGATGTTTCTCCACCTGAGGACTGGCCAGACAGAACCAGCACGGACCAGTGGGCTGAGCTACACAAGAAACGGTAAAACCCACGAGTCATTTTCTGTAAGCGTTGTTGTCGAACACGGGAGGACCACTTTTTAAACATCAAGTGTTCAGAGCTGCTGTGAAAACACACTCACGGTGACGGCGGGGCTCTTTGGGCTGCCAGTCTCCACGATGACCTCGACCTCGCCCGTCCCCGTCTGAAGGTCTCTTCCTGCCGCGGCCCTGAAACGCCCCGCCCTGCTTGCTGCTCAGATCAAAGAAGAACTGGTGGACCGGCTCCTGGACAGGACGGCACGTTTAAACAGAAGATCATGAAGACGGTGCATTCAGTCAAACTAACATTTAAAAAATCATCATTTTCATGAAATCATCAGATCTCGGCCAAAAATTGGATTATAAATATGAGAAAAACAAATAAATCACTTTGCTGTATAAGTTGCAGGGCATGCTAATTATGCACAAAGGTGCAACTTATACAGATAAAAATGCAGTAAAGTTTACTGAAATGCCATGAAAATCATTATTTTGGATGCACACGTTTTTCTATAAAGAACTGTAAAGCGGTATTTCTGCAGACCTCGTCCTCTGCTGCGCTGAACGCCGCTTGTTTTGTGTCCGTCTTGTCTTTTGCCGGTCGTCTGTAAGGATTTTCCGTCACGTCCTGCGGCTGCTTCACCAGCTCTGCCGGATCCATGTTCTTCATGGGGATGATGTTGAAGGCGTAGACGTACTGCGGACAAGATGTGGAGGAAAAAGTTAAAATGCTTTTGCACATTGAAGTAAAATTGATGTTTGTGCTACGATTGTTTTCGGCTGAAATCAAACGTTAAATCTGTTGCGTGAACTGACTTTGTGTGAAAATGTGAGACTTTATTTGAGCTTTGAAGCATTTTATTAAACGTGCGGTGCAGCGGACGTGGCAAACGGACGATGAACGCACCTTCTTCTTGGCAGAGTTGTTGAACGGTGCCAGGGCGATGAAGCGGCTGACGTGCTGAGCGTTCTCCTGGAGAACCACATGGTTCCTGAGGACGGAGAACTTTTATTCCACGTCATGAAACGATGGGTATTTGCATCAGACGTAACGAGGTCGATCAACTAATCGTGACGAAGACAAATGCTGAGCTCGGTTTGTTGTCGCTCTTCTGAGAAGAAAATGAAATGGCTCTAAAGACGGACGGTGTTTCACCAAGTTTTAATGAAAATATGTAAAATGTTTTAACATCTGGTGTAAAAAAGGTCAAATAATTAAGAGGTCTAGCGTTCCTTGACCTGCCGCCAAAGTTTCAGACCAAGTTCATCTTTTGTTGAGAAACGACAGTCGTCATGTGCGACCTGCTGGCACTCGGAGTACGTGTTGTGGACGACTCTCAGCTACTGCCGCACTAAACTTCAGCTCCGTGTCTGTAAAACTGGAACCGGGTCGACTCCACACGCTGCACTCTACCTGTACGGGAGTCTTTCATAGTAAGAGCCCTCTAGTCCGGCGAAGTGGTAGCGTGGCTTCAGTCTGTCGGCGAGGCTCGCGACCGAGCTGCTGCCGCACAACTTGGTGTTCACTTCCTGCAACACAAAACTTTTGTTCACTTCCTGCAACACTAAACTTTTGTTCACTTCCAGCAACACAAAACTTTTGTTCACTTCCTGCAACACTAAACTTTAGTTCACTTCCTGCAACACAAAACTTTAGTTCACTTCCTGCAACACAAAACTTTTGTTCACTTCCTGCAACACAAAACTTTTGTTCACTTCCTGCAACACAAAACTTTTGTTCACTTCCTGCAACACAAAAACTTTTGTTCACTTCCTGCAACACAAACTTTTGTTCACTTCCTGCAACACTAAACTTTTGTTCACTTCCTGCAACACAAAACTTTTGTTCACTTCCTGCAACACAAACTTTTGTTCACTTCCTGCAACACAAAACTTTTGTTCACTTCCTGCAACACTAAACTTTTGTTCACTTCCTGCAACACTAAACTCTTGTTCACTTCCTGCAACGCAACAACTTTTGTTCACTTCCTGCAACGCAACAACTTTTGTTCACTTCCTGCAACGCAACAACTTTTGTTCACTTCAAATGGGGGCTGATTTATCGGTGCACCCCTAATTTAAACAACGTGTGCTTTTGAACAAGTGATGAACAGGAAGTACCACATGTTCATCCGTAGGAAGAAAACTGCGAGTACATCCTCCATTTTTTGTATAAACCGTACTTTGTGGCGTTAAGTCGTAGATTTTTGCGTAGATGTCAGTTCCTGTGACGCCAAAACGATTTGTACTTTTTTTTTTCTCATATTCATAAAACAATTTTTGATTGACGCTTTACATTCCTAAGAACTGCAACAGCCAGTCCTCCCCAGCGCACTCACTTCAATCAGCTGGTGCAGGCGGAGGAATGCTGGAGCTCACGGCTCCGGCTGCGATGGATGGATGATGGATGGATGATGGATGGATGGCGCCCAGGTGAAATGAAGCTGTTTTGACCATTAAATAACGGCGGTGCGTTATAATAAATGCGACTTATACGCCAGAAAATACAGTAATTAGGATACTTAGTGGTTAAATTAAAGGTTAATGTTTAATTGAAGGTTGATGTTTAATTAACGGTTGATGTTTAATTAAAGGTTAATGTTTAAAGCAAGTTGTGCTTTGTTTTGTGTTTTAAATGTAGACACATGTAACTTCTGGTTGCATAAGTTTAGTCTTTATGATCAGTTAACACTAAACTGATTTTATATAAAACGTTTTAGGTTGTGTATATACTTTTTGTGTATTTATATGTACAGTAAATGCTTTAAATGTTTTTTTATGATGTTTATTGTTGTGTGAACCTCATCCGTTTGTTTTGTTGTTAAATCAGGTAAACGAGTCCTCGAGGCTCAATGAGACTAACCTGTTTACGTAAAGGTTGAATCACACTCTTACAACGCTGTTATTGAAAGGAACACTCTGTGCGAATAACAAGCGGCCATTAAGCAGCATTTGTTAAGCTGATGGTCCTTGTACCTGTGAACAGCTGTCTCTGGCTGTCGGCAGCAGCTGGCCGCCTGCCTCAGAACCTTTCGGCAACAGAAAGCCGTGCAGCGGTTGCTGCTGAAAGTCTCACAGGTTGAGACGACTTATTACAAAGTGCCATTATCAGTAAAGGAGGAAGAGCTGAACATCTGACACAGAACAGAAGCTAAGCTAATGCTAGCAAGAGCTCAAATACACAGCTAAAAACCAGAAGTGTTGAAAAGGTGTTCAAGCTCAACCCAACGGTAGAAAACGTATCGAGGGTGTTTGTGTACTAGAATGTAGAAATGTGCAAAAGATAAATCCAGAAAAAACAGACGCCTCGAGCTACCAGCGGAGAAAACAGGAAGTGACGCAATACGTGTCACCACGGACGTCCTCGGCTCCTGCTGCTCCAACATTTACCACACAGGTGAAGGTTCGGCTGTGCGCTGCTGCTTCCCCTTTCTCAAGCGATTCAATTTATCTCTCTGCAGGAAGGATGGACTCTGTTACCGGGGCGTTTCCGTAGTGCCACACTCCTCTGGGCCACTGCGACGTCAACAAGATATCGACTCCTCTGAACTTGGAGCTGCTGCTCAGCGACGTGACGAGGGCCGAGAGGTCTGCGGACGTGAAGCAATGAGCCGGGGCCGGTTCCTGCGGGGCCTCCCGGCCGCTGATGTAGGCGATCTGCAGTCCGGACGCGCCCGTAAACACACCTCGCCTCCCTGAAACACACGCAGAAAACCGCTTCGACCATTAAAATGTGGATCCAGGATGAAATGGGTGGACTGGTCTGTAAATTAAGCGTCCTAAACAGAACGTCCTGCTGTGCCTTACAGACAACACTCAGGGACCAAATGCTCCAAAAGATTTTAAAAAATCCTAAATGGCACCAAACTATTTATTTAAAATTAAAGTTAAAAAAAAAAAAATCCATTTGATTTCATTCACCATCTTTTGGTTCTTGAGTGTCGGGACATAAAACTGATCAGGGTCTGAAGTTCAGATCTGACCCGAACGAACAAAAACACCAGACTTCACCGAGTCAGCGGTTTTTTTCTATAGAAACTGAACATTAAAACTTTTTGCTGCTATGGAGCATACAGGTATGCGTTAACACAACACCAAGGCAGAAAGACATCAGCAATGACCTCTGTCAATCTGGGAAAGGTCAAAGATCATGTCCAAATTTTCTGGAATCCACCGTTCTAGAGATGATCACGAGAAACAGATTTAAGACCGCTGACAGTCCTCAGCAGGTTCACCCCGAAGGGCAGGCCGTGCAGTGAGCTCCATCTCAGACTCTACACGCCTCAGTCAACAGGTCAAAGGTCGTGACCTCTTCTCTCTAAAAACAAGATGGCAGCTCAACTTATATTTGGAAAGTTTAATCTGTAGGAACCACAGAACTTCTGGACCAGAACCAGACCAAAGGACCCAGAACGCACTGCAGCAAACAGCTCCTCCCAGCTGTCAGCACTGTGGTGGAGGCTGATGGTTTGGGCTCCTTTAGTCACTGAATGGACCAGGAACTCCTCTGTAGACCAATGGGTTCTGGAGTCAAATGTGAGTCCATCTGTCCAACAGCTGAAGCTTGGACCAGACTGGGTCCAACAGGACCATGATCCAGAACACAGCAGCTGGTCTACAACAGAACGGGTCAAAGGGCAAAGAACCAAGATGCTGCAACGTCCAGTCAGAGGTCCGATCAGTTTAGTAAGGAAATGGTGAAATCTAAAACTCAGGTTTTATCAGAACCTTTTCAGAACCTGGTCAAACTCTGGTGCAGTCTCACCCAGATACGTGATGTTCTCGGCCAACTCGCAGCCATCAGAGCTGGAGAAGTTCTTCACCGTCTCCGGACTCGCTGCACCCAAGATGTACGTGTGGATGGGCGCTGAAAAGAAAACAAACGCCTCAGTTTTCAGACTTCCTGCGGTCCTTGTCGGACGTGTTTGTGATGTGGGGACTGAACCTTTCTTGGCTCCAGTTTTGTATTGTTGCCACTCTGCTTCAGCTTCAGGTGTTGCTCCAAAAAACTCTCCAACACACAGCAGAAGCTGCACGGAAACATCCACAAATTAAGATTAAAACTGACAGTTTGAGGAAAATAGTCACTTCTGATCGGACTCACGTCAAACTGTCCAGATTTCTTCTGGATGGACTGAACTCGACTGAAGAGTCCGGTCAGTCTGCCTTCTACGTCCCCACATGCCAAGCTGTAAACATTAGCATAAAGCTAAAAACAAACATTTATGCAACAAATGTAGAATAAAAACATCCACAGTTTAACCACGGTGACATCTGACCACAAAAACATAATTAAACCCACAGATCGACTTTTCACAACGTTCAACTCACACTCTTACTGGTTGATCGCCCATGTTTTGACTCAAATTCAGCGGGTTAGCAGCTTCCGCGCATCGTCCGTTACCAAAAAAGGTCCGACCGAAACAACTTCCTAGCTATTTGTTCCCAAACATCACGGCGGTATCATGGCAAATAAAATTATTTAGAAATTATTTAGAAACATTATGATAAATATATAATCAGGCAAGTGAGAGATTTGGTTGCTGAACATGGTTGCAACATTTGTTTCGTGCTATAAAAATAATAATTTTAATAGTTTTGACGATTAAAAAAAAAAAAAGATTTTCCATACTTTTAGAAAACTCATAAACCACCTTTAAATGTTAATTTTTAATGAACAACTGCATAGTAAACTTTTTCTTCTAAACTTAGGATTGTGAATTTAGGCTAAGCTAATCACTACTACATTACTTGATTTAAAAAAAAAGTTATTACTGTAAAAATACAAAATCATTAGTCTAGTTTTTAACTATAAAAAAAGAAAGCAATCTAGTTCAGGCATATATTTGTTGGTGTTGTGTTGGAAATTGTTCCCGCGTCATCGATACGCCTTGTTCTTTATCGTCCAATCAGATGTGGCCCTCCAGATACGTCTTCCGTATTTTTCAGCAGAGATACCTACTTGTTGGTAAATTCGTACAAAATAAAAAAAGTGACCGACTTTTTGCTGGTTTTTAGTACCATCATAACAAAATTATCAATAGTATTTTAATATATAGTTATTAGACGCACCTACGTTAGAAGAAAACCAAACGTAACACGAAAACTGCCTCAACACGTGTGTTTCTCACGACCAGTTCGCCTTTTTTACGGCAGGGGTACATTTTCCGACGCAACACCGGTCTTCGGGCTCCGCTCCTTCATCCTGGCACTTCGCTTCATCCTGGTACCTCGAAAGTCCCCGGACCGAAAACAGGAAGTAAGTAGCCAAATCAAAAGTAAATTCACTTTCTGTTTGGTGTCAGAGCACATTAGGAGTGACAGGGGAGACGCACGCAATAAAAATCACAAGAAATTCTCAAATAAAGCGCCAGAACGACGCCGAACCACATAAGCTTCGCCTTGTCTTCAAATATGGCGGCGGAGAATTTTCGTCTTTTCTTTTAGCTGGACGCTGTGAGGTTAACGTCGAGTAACAGTCGAGCGATATTTATCCCACTCCCTGTTATGTTTTTATTTTTGTTAATTCAACCTAATCTGTATTTGGTTCAAATTTAACTGTATAACCAAACGGATGTTAAGGCAGTTGAATGCAATTCACCAAACACCATTTAAAAAACTTAAATTTTTGCTTTTTTCTTACTGATATATAATATAACCAGCTCAAATTACTTTCAATTATATCATACTTTTGCTAAGTGACCCAACCTGTAATTCGGCGTACATAAGGTTCAATATCAATTTACTATAATAAAACCAGCGTTGATTTAGTGTTTATATTTGAAGCCAGTAGGGGGCGACAGCCAACAGATATTTTATATTTTTTTAATTATCTAAAAAATATTGTTTCCATTTCTGTGTATGCAAATTTATACTTCAAGTCAGTATTTTTCTTTCCAAAAAATTTAAAAAAATACTAGTTTAAATCCCACCCAAGTCCCCAATCTACATTTTTATTTTTTACCAAATATGTTAAGTGATGCTAATCTTTCACAATAAAACAACATGCACAGCACAATGCCACCCACAATATCACCATGAAACATTCGACATGGCACAAGGAATCATCTAGCTTCCACCACTACCCAACCCAGCGTGCATCTGTCACAGCACCTGAATCCAAACACCCGCGCAAGCACGCCCGCCACCACCAGATTTCTCCAAAAGAATGCCCAATAGTGGACGCGGGGGCCCACAGACCCACCCCCCCAGGACACAATGGCAACACATGGAGGACCGGAGCCACAGACACACAGCGGCCCCCAGGCCCGGAGCCCCAGGAGTTTCCCAAGAGGGAGAACCGCACCCCCCCCAGAGAGGAGCAGAGGAAAGAACCAGGTGACCCCAGCCACCACAATGCAGAGCCTCCAGGAAGCTGCAACGACGAGCCCACAGGTCCGGCCGGCAACTCATGCCCCCCCCCCCCCCCCCCCAAGTAGATCCGGCCATGGACACCAAGCCCCGAGGCCATACCACCCCCCAGCAGAGCCCCGACAGAGCCAGGGCACCCAGGCCCCGCCAGGCAGCAACCAGGGCGGACCGACGTGCACCCCACCACCCAGCCCAGACACCGAGAGCCACCAATGCACCGGCGGCAAGGGGGCCCCCCGCCAAAGGGGGGCACGACCGGGGGGAGTGGGCCCCACACCAAACGTGGGGCCCAAATTGATCCAAGAGAGGGGGGACCACCAAAAACCCAACCTGAGCAACAAACAGGCACACACAGATAGGGGCCGACCGCATGCACCATCTACCTGACAGCGACCACAGGCCGGCCCCAGCCCAAAGGGCAGAGCAGCAGGGAGTCGCAGCTGAGGAGGGCCGGCCCCCACATCAAGAGCCCCGCACCATAGACCCGGAGACGCCCCAGCACACCATCTATGCACCCCCCCACCGCAAATGCCACACAGGAAGACCAGCCAGTGCCCTGATGAGGCGAAGCCACGCCCCCAACCGCCGCCCTACACCACCAATGACCACACGTACGCTACCATAGCCGACCCCCCGCCGAAAGCCGGCAGCCAAAGGTCAAAGTGCCGGCCATCGCAACCAGGAACCTAGATTAAAAGAATCGGAACAGCCCAGGAGGAACCGAAGCACCGGCCCCATCACCAACCGCCCCCAAGGCCCAAAGCCCACCCACAGCCCAGACCCCAACAATGTGCCCCCCTCCCCCCCTATCCCAGACCCCTAGTGTCACACGGAGAAAGGAGGTGTTTGTGAAAGCAAAAAATAAAATAAAATCTATATATGCATAAATAAATTATGAACAGACCCACTTCCTCCTCCTCCCACTTGAATATGGTGTTGATGCATGTTGTTATACAGTGCGTTTAAAATGGGGGGGTGAGGTGGCGACCGGCACAGACCCACCTCTTCACAACACTTCACTGTTTCTACACTTTAACTGAGCTCAAAAAAAAAAGTTAAACCTTTCTTAGTGTTTGACATTTTAAGACATAACGTCTGTATTTGCCGTTTTCTCTCGTTGCACGTCACACACACACAGAGCTGTGCAGCAGCGAATCAGCAGCGAATCAGCAGCGAATCAGCAGCGAATCAG